CAAATTATAAGTCAAGGAGCATCTGTATATATTTATGGGGTACAGAGTCATTTATGAATATAAAACAGAATAATTAAATCAAGTTATTAATATATTCATCTCAAAAACATCATTTTTCATGGTGAGAACATTTGAAATTTACTCTCTCAGCAATTTTGAAATGTAAAATACATTATTATTTATACCATTTTCAGTTCCTACTTGTGCACTGCATTCATACTATCTAAGAAGCCAATAGTGGTTCCCTAAAGCTGAGAAATGTTGCTGTGACACTTATATAAGTGTCACCATAAGTTTTGATTGACTTGTCTCCACCACTAATACTTGGATTCCCAGGATTCAAAGGTCATCTTGTACTTACATTCTGTTCCCACTCCCTCTGCCACACTTGTACCGCAGAACATTGAACTTGTTTCTCATAACTCCATGCATAGCCACTCTGCCACACTTCTGTGCTCATGTGCTGTGCTCAGTCTGGAATGTCCTTACACCACTTCACCAGGGCTCAAAGTGGCTAAGCAATTCTTGAAGGCTCAAGTTGGGTGATGCCTCCTCTAAAAAACCTTCTTTGATCTACTAGATTGGGCTAGACCTGTCCTCTGGCTCCCACGTCCTTGCTCCAGCAATGCTTCTACACTGCATCACGCTCTACGTAGGCCATCCTGTAAATCATGAGCTCCTTGTGGACAGAGACTATGGACTTTTCACTTGCATTCGCCCAGTGTCTGACATATGAGAAGCACTTCACAAATAGAGTTTCATCAAAAAATGATTCGTGGGAATTTTTGGTTGTTGGATATTTTCATCTTGCTAAAAGTATTTTTTATAAAGTTTTCATACTTCTTAGTTCAGTTTTAAATACTTAAAATTTGAAATGTTGGACTACAATGGAAAAACATATTAAAATAGTATGTAAATTATTTATTATTTATGTATTTTAGGTTTTACCTCAATTTTGTTACTGAAGAAGTGGAAAATCCTGAAAAGTAAGTAGCCATATTTACTCTGAAATTTTTATGAAAAATAAAGTTTAAGATTACATAGTTGAAAAAGTAGACCTGTAGAAGGAATTCAGTGTGCACTAGTCAACTTTATTGTCATCATAATCATTATTATTCTCCTAGGCAGACAAAATTTATTTGATTTTATCATGAATTATATACTAATAACTTAATTGTATATTCTACATTCATATTAAAGTGCCTAGTAACCTGAAAGCAGTAAAGAATAAAGTTATATTTTAGGTAACCTGTCTCATATAAACACATGCATATAACTTAACATAGACTTTCAGCTACACACAGTGTAACTCAAACTAAAAAAGTTGATTGTTTCTAAAAATTCATGTACACTTTTTTCATAACTATCCAATTAAAGAGAGTAATGTAATTAATGGAAAATTAGTTATGAAAGCCTAGAAATACCTGAGGACTGTGATAAGAAGTTGTAAATTTTAATAGCTGATATTGTTTTTACTCTTTCTTCCTAGGTAACAATTTTATAGTTAGATGATTTGATGATGATTTACATAGTGTTTCTAAAATGTACTTGCTTAGAAAATGAATTATTTTTATGATTTGTGTATAAACATTGACTTCATGCAGAAAAATAGCAAAAAAAAACATCATGGACCAAAGAGGGAATATGAAAGAACCATACTGTAAAATGTAGACTAAATTTTATGGTTATTTAATTCATTTCATTTCTAATGAATATCTGCTATGTTCCAACCATTGTGCTAGGAACAGCTTATGTGATCAATGAGACTTGTCTTCAAGTATTTTATTGCCCAGTCAATGAGTCAAATGTTTAACCAAACAAAGGTAACAGTGTAATTGATACCATAATAGATTATTTACCCAGTTTGGCAAAGAGGAAAGTGGGAAATACTTAATTCTACCCAGGATGGTGTTGCTTATATAGTGTCTCAAATGATGAGTTAATGTTCCTTAGGTAAAGAGAAGAGAGAGAGAGAGAAAGAGACACATTCATGCACATGAACAAACATACATTGATTTCTAGGAAAAGGAACAGCAGGAACAAAAGTGAGCCAGTAGGAAATAGCCTGGACATCAGTGAATATGCCTAAGAGTTGACAATTCCGATTAAGATAGACTAAGAAATTCTGACACCAGGTATCTTGGGAGATAATAAGCCAATTAGATCTGGCCAAGTATCAGGGATGTCAAAGTTTAGAACACATAAGCCAGCAATTGAGGTTAAAATGATGTTTCATGGCATCAGATTCAACTGCTATGCAAATCAATATGTAATTTAAACACGTGAAAAGCTGTTTTGTTAAGAAATATGA